GCAGAAAACCTAATATCATTCCAGACAAATGGTTGGAGGTCTTCTAGTCCAACCCAAGCAGAAAACCTAATATCATTCCAGACAAATGGTTGGAGGTCTTCTAGACCAGTGTTTTTCAACCTTGGCAACTTGAAGATGCCCGGACTTCAACTCCCAGAATTCCCCAGCAGTGGTTAGGACAGTGTTTCTCAACCTTGTCAACTTGAAGATGTCCGGACTTCAACTCCCAGAATACCCCAGCCAGCATTCGCTGGCTGGGGAATTCTGGGAGTTGAAGTCCAGACATCTTCAAGTTGACAAGGTTGGGAAACACTGCTATAGAGCACTGCATGCACCAGAACAACTAGACACAAGGACAGTTTTTCCCCCCGAATGACATCCCTCTGGTTGAGCTCGGCTCTGGTGGTGTATGCTAAGCTGGAAGTTAGTTACCCTTAACTAGCCAGGGGCTGCCCCAAAGAAGAGGGAGTCAAGCTATTCTCCAAAGCTCCTCAAGGCAGGACAAGAAGCAATGGGTGGAAACTAATGGGATTAAGGAGAAACCTCCTAACAGTGAGGACAGTGGAAGAGTTTGCCACCAGAAGTTGTAGGTGCTTCATCACTGGAGTTTTTTAAGAAGAGACTGGACAGCCACTTGTCTGAAATAGTAGAGGGTTCTCCTGCCTGAGCAGGGGGTTGGACTAGAAGACCTCCAGGGTCCCTTCCAGCTCTATCCTGATCGATTTAAAACCAACACCAGGCCGTCTTGGGGAAAACCGAGCTCTTAAAAACAGAGGAGGAATGGCTTCCCAACCCCTTGTGGATTCAGTTACAGGGAAAGGGAGCAAAAGCCAAGAGAAAATTTAGGAATCTCGGCCTCGTACCAAGGAGATTCTGGCCATTTTCTGACCCCTGTCGAAAAGCCGGGGGCAACATTTTCCACCCTCAAAAAGAATTGTTTATTTCCCATCCTGAAAAAAAAAAAAACTGCAGCAGCAGCAGCAAGGAATTCTGGGCCGTGTCTAGGGTCCCAGTGGGGCCATTCCTTGGCTAGGTTGAAACACCCTCCCCCCCCCAAGGAGAGACTCTGCCCCCCCTTTCCCCCCGCCACCCCCGTTGTTTCCACAGCTGCTCAAATTGGAAAGGAGAACGGTGCAAAAAAGGGGGAAGTTTATAGGAGTTTCAAAGCAGAACTTAAAAGTAGATCCCAGGGAGTGAAATAGCTCGGTTCACTTTTTTTGTTGGGACAGGTGAGTTTTCTTTCTGTCTGTCTGTCTGTGTGTGTGTGTGTTGTGTGTCTGTCTGTCTGTCTCTTTCTCTCTCTCTCTGTGTCAGTAACTCACAATGGCCTGGTTGAACTTGGATTCAATTTCTCCCAGCAGCCAGTCGAAGGCTTCCCCGCTCAGCCGGAATTCCTCGATCATCCGACGGCTGCAGAGGGTGGAGCGCAGGTGGATGTTGAAGAGCAGGGTGGCGTTCTCCTGCGCCTGCTTGCTCAGGGGGTCGTCCCCGTTCACAATCACCAGTTTCTTGCTGAGGTCCTTCACGCCTGGGAGGGAAGGAAGAAGGAAAAAAAAGACACCGGTTTTTAAAAAAAAAGAAGAATTATTATTTTAGAAACTGTATACGGTCGACTTACAACTGTTTAAACCAGTGTTTCTCAACCTTGGCAACTTGAAGATGTCTGGACTTCAACTCCCAGAATTCCCCAGCCAGCGAATGCTGGCTGGGGAATTCTGGGAATTGAAGTCCGGACATCTTCAAGTGGCCAAGGTTGAGAAACACTGTACTAGAATATATAAAGTGAAATATTATAACCACCATTGGTCTAATCGGGATTTACAAATATAAGGATCTCGCTTTGTTCTTGTCTTACACATTTTCACCGTTATGATTTCTTACCTAATTCTAATCTCCCTTCTATAAATCTTAAGTCATTGCCTTATTCTGGGTCTTTTTTTTTGTTCCAACCATCGATAAAAATTATCCCAGATCTTATAATATTCTGATTCGTCTTTGTTCTTCAATCGCCACGTCAATTTATCCATCTTGGCAGAAATCAGAATTCTCCTAATTACTTCCTCTTCTTGTGGAATTTCCCCGTTTTTCCAGGTTTGAGCAAAGGCCATTCTTGCTGCCGTGATAATGTGTATTATTAAGTAGTGTTGTGTTTATGATTCCCAAAAGAAATAGTTCTGGTTTGAATTCTATTTCCTTTTCGATTGTCTCTATCAGCCACCTTTGAATTTCCCCCCCAATATTCTTTTGCTGTTTTTTTTGGCATGGCCACCGCATAGGGTGGTACGTGCCTGATTCTTAATCACATCTCCAACTATTTGGTGCTAAACGGGGTCCTCCTTCTGTGACGCTTTCAAACAGAAGGCCAAAATTGCACAGAGGATGGACTCGTCCCTCGGTTGTGTGAATGGGGAGGCCAGCAAGGAGCCCGGGAATTTCACGGCCGTCAATCAAGGGCAGCGTGAAGAGACGGAGGAGCCATGGTTCCTGGTGGGGGAGATGTACACGCCACCGGAGGGAAGCTGAGGCAGGTGGGTGAGGCTCACCTTGCTGTCTCCCGTGGGGAAGATGACCCTCAACACCTCCCGGTCCTCCTTCATCTTCTCAAACTCCCTCTCCAGCTCGTTCTGGATGTGGGCGTTGCTGAGGATGTCCTTCACCATCTCCTCTTGGAGGGTGCGGCGCAGAGCCCGCTCGTTGGCGTAGTCGAACTTGAACCTGGAAAAGAGGGATATATATCGGGTGGCTCCTTCAACTCTTCTAAAGCAGGGTCTCCGAACTGAGCAGCTTGTGGGACCTTCAACTCCCAGGATCCCCAGAGGCAGCCGTTCGTTAAAATCAAGGTATAATTACATCGGCCACATTCCCACCGTCTATTAAAAGAATTGCCCAATCAGAAAAGGGCAGCAAGAGAAGTCTAGCCACGTTTCTTCAGGATGGCTGGGGGGAATCCTGGGAGGTGAATCCCACGTTTATCTTAAAATTCGCCAAGGACACCCCCAGGCCCATCCTCTTTGGCAAGCCCCAGGGGTCTGGAGGAAGCCAAAAGGAGTGTCAGTTTCCCCATCTGGACCCACATCCCTCCCCCAAGAACGCAGGGCCCCCTCTCGTCCACTTCACCCCAGCAGGAACACCGCCAAAGAGATGCTCCCCCGCCATAGCTAATCTTTTGTGTCCATCCCTCCTCGGCTGGTTTGGTCCTGTGGTAAAGTCGACTGGGTGACTTTGGGCCAATCGCCAGGAGGTGGCGAGGGCTAGTCCTGCCTCAGGCACCAAAGCCCACCGGGTGACTTCAAGGCTAACGATCTGAATTCTAGTCCTGCCTTAGGCATGGAAGCAGTCTGGATAGCAATAGCAGTTAGACTTGTATACCGCTTCATAGGGCTTTCAGCCCTAAGTGGTTTACAGAGTCAGCATATCTCCCCCACAGTCTGGGTCCTCATTTT